ATGTAGTGTTGGAATTAATTAAAAGTTCGAGTTCTTATGCAAATATGATTTGTTGAGGGGTACATTTGCAAAATGTTTATTCCTTATCCTCATATGAAACGCTTCCTCTTCTGTAACACTTTCCCCTTTTCCGCTCTTTCCTTCTCCGCTCTTTCCTCTTTTCTTCCGAGCGAAAATCTCTCCCTACAATAACATCGGCGTCTTCTCCCCGACAGCAGAAATCTCTCCTGCGGTAACGTCGGCGTCTTCTCCGGCCTTGTTAACAACAACGGAAAATTCTCAAGGGCTATTAAAAGGGGATCCCAAGCAACTATGAAGAACAAGAAAGAAAAGAAAAACAGTGAGCAATTCTCAATCTCTCTCTCATAATTCTCTATAATATTTTGATTTCTGATTTTAATTTTTGGCAAACATCCATTGAGCAAGAGATCAAAGTTTCGCAGTAAACTTTGGTGTCAGCTTTCTCAGGGGGTTCTTACCGCTAGGCGTAGTTGCATCAAATCGTCTCACGAAGGCGGCGACTATTGTTCTAGGGCAGTGATCGCACGATTACCCCTTCTCAGGCCTGTGTTTTCTAACAATCTAGAACAATAGTCGCATTATATTCATTCTGTTTCAAATAATAAATCTGAAATTTTGTGTTCTATCATCCTTTTTGCCTAATTTCTGATTTTCTAATCTCTAATTCTAACTGTTGAATTTCTATAATTTACTTTCATCAATTTTGCTCGTTGTCTAATATTATTTATTCTTTGTTTTCAAGCATCAGATGCTAAATAATATGTTGCTTTGCCTATTGTTAAACGAATGACAGAATAAGGTTTATAAAAGCATCATATGTTTAAAACGTTCTTGCTTTATCTATTGTGAACATTGTTAAAATATCCTGCTACTTTTTTTTCCTAGTCCGACTTGGAACAGAGTTGCACGAAGGACCATTTGCAAGGCCCATTTAAGCATAATCTCTTCATGTCTATGTCTCTAAACTAAATTATTACTAGCATTACATTTTATTTGTTTTGTAAAACATAAGCAGTTATATCATTGTGCATATTAACTGTGCATTATATTAAATTTTGAGTTACTGCAAAGTTGCTTGTCCTTTGGAAAACGTATCATTTGCTTTTAATAATCTATATTCATTCGATATTGTATTACAAAGAAATTTTGTAGTTCTCTATATTTTCAATATATTCAGTTTGCATATAGCTTCATATTTATCCATTTTGATAGCAATATCATTGTCAGCCTTAAGTTTTCTTCATTTTGTGAACCATTGTAATATAGTTCTAAGTCTATATCTCACAAACAAGTTCCTTTCTCAGATCCTTTGAATCATCAAGACTAGCAATTTTTATTTTTAGATTTTATGGCTAATATTGATCTATCTAAGTCAGCCAAGCCTGAGAAGTTTACCGATTTGAACTACAAACGATGGGCTAAGCAGATGAAATATTGGCTTACAACTTTAGGACTTATTTCTACTATTGACTCTGATTTTTCCTTATCAACACCTACACCCTCTTCATCATCACAAGCTGAACCTACCTCCACACCTACCACAACATCCGGAATTTCCAAATCTTCTAAGGAAATAAACTTTCATTGTTACTACAGAATCCTTAGTGCTCTTTCAGACAAATTGTATGACATTTATTATGAGTATAAAGATGCAAAAGATTTGTGGGTATCACTAGAGTCTGAATATTGTTTAGATGATGCTGGTATAGTACGTTTTTCCTCCTCCTCCTTTAATAAGTTTGTTATGGTAGATAGTAAACCTATCAATGATCAACTCCATGAGTTTCAAGACTACATCCGATACCTTCAGCTGAAAGGAAATACTTTCTCTGAAGAATATAAGGTATCTAGTCTTATTGATAAACTTCCTCCTTCTTGGTCTTCTGAAGAATATAAGGTATCTAGTCTTATTGATAAACTTCCTCCTTCTTGGTCTGACTTTGCTAAAGATCTCCGTCATCTACAGGGTGACTTGACTCTTGTACAAGCCCTCAAAGGTATTAGGATAGAGGATCAACATAGTAAAAACTCTAAACCAAAAAATGAAATGAAAGCAAAAGTAAACCTAGTGGAAGAAAAGTCTAAGAACTTTAGAAACCCAAATCACAAACCCAATGGCAAGAATTTCAAGAAGAAGAATCATTCTCATCGTCCTAACCAACATTCCAATCTCTCTAGAAACCACAAACCTTTTAGCTAAAAGTCTGAGACTAAATTTTGCTATATCTGTGGGAGAACCAATCATCTTTTGACTCAATGCTACTACCGAAAGAAAGCTCCTATCAAGACTCCTGTAGGTGGAAAGGGTGAAGAAGCAAGTCATAGGGTCAACATAGTAGAAAATAACTCAGACTCCTTTAGGTTAGCTTCCTCTTCTTATGTAGTAAATTGTACCACTTTTTCTGATGACTGGTGGTTGGATTCTGGAGCGAATAATCACATTTCTTCTAATCGCTCTTGGTTTTCAACTTATCAGGAATCAAGTGGAGGAAGTGTAATTCTAGCAGGTGACTCGACTAGACAAGTAATGGGAAGTGGACGTGTGGACCTATAGATGACTTCCGGAAAGATTTTGACTCTCCACAATGTCCTACATGTACCATTACTTAGAAGAAATCTGATTAGCGAATCTGTTTTATTGAAAGTTGGATTTAGAATTGTTAAAGAGTCAAATAAGTTTGTAATTACCAAGAATGATATATTCATTGGTAAAGGTTTTGTTTGTGATGGTCTTTTTAAGTTGAATGTAATAAGATCCTCTGATAATAAAAGTTCTTCTTCCATAATCTTAAATGTTGAATCTTGTGACAAATGGCATGGAAGGTTAGGACACATAAGCTATGGAACCATTAGAAAAATGACATCCTTGAGCTTGATACCATAAACCAGGATAGATCCATCTTCTAAGTGTGAGATATGTGTTCAAGCTAAAACCATTAGAAAACCTTTCCACTATATTCATAGAGATTCTGAACCTCTAGAACTCATACATAGTGATGTTTGTGATTCAAACAGAATTCTTACTAGGGGAGGAAGAAGATACTTTGTAACCTTCATAGATGATCATTCAAAGTATTGTTATACATATCTTCTCAAAACTAAAGATGAAGTCTTAGAAAAGTTTAAGATATATAAACCAGAAGTTGAGAATCAAATTGAGAAGAAAATCAAGATCCTAAGATCGGATCGTGGGGGGGGAGTATACCATAAATAACATGATCGAATATTGCCAAGAACACGGTATTATTTATGAGGTGATTGCTCTCTACACACCGCAATCCAATGGAGTTGCTGAAAGGAAGAATAGAACTCTCATGGATATGGTGAATTGTATGCTTCTCAGCTCAGGAGCACCTGAAAACCTATGGGGTGAAGCACTCCTATCTGCTTGCTACATTCTTAATAGGGTACCTCACAAAATATATGATATCTCTCCCTATGAACTTTGGAATGGTAGAACACCTAGAATAGATTATCTTAAGGTTTGGGGATGTCTAGCTAATGTAGGGATACCTGAACCTAAGAAGAGAAAAATTGGTTCAAAAACTGTAGATGCTGCATTTATTGGATATGCATTAGATAGCAATGCAAACCAATTTTTAGTAGTCAACTCAAATATTAGTGATATAACCAACAACACTATCATTGAGGCTCGAGATGCTGTATATTTTGAAGATATATTCCCTTAGTGATATAACCAACAACACTATCATTGAGGCTCGAGATGCTGTATATTTTGAAGATATATTCCCTTTCAAGACTAGGATTCTATTTTGAAGATATATTCCCTTTCAAGACTAGGATTCCTAGTGAGCTCTCTTCTAGCACACTTCCTTCTTCTAGATTTGCCTCATCTTCTAGTACTCCACAATCGATAAAAGTATAACCCAAAAGAAGCAAGAGAGGAAGAATCGAAAAGAACTTCGGAGAAGAGTTCTTTACATTTTTGGTTGAAGGTGATCCAAACACATACCAAGAAACCATGGATTCTTCTGAAGCTCCTTTTTGGAAAGAAGCCATAGATAGTGAAATTAAATCTATTATAGAAAATAATACTTGGGTTTTAACTGACTTACCTCCAGGATGTAAACCAATTGGTTGGAGATGAATTTTCAAGAAAAAATTAAGACCTGATGGAACCATTGAAAAATATAAAGCTAGACTAGTAGCAAAAGGGTATACTCAAAAAAAGGGTATTGACTTTTTTAATACATACTCCCTTGTAGCTAGGATTTCAACTATTAGAGTCCTTCTAGCCTTAACTTCTATTCACAAGATGATTATTCACCAAATGGATGTTAAGACCGCTTTCTTAAATGGCTATCTCGAAGAAGATATTTATATGGACCAACCAGAAAGGTTCATAGCCAAAGGTCAAGAAAGAAAGGTCTGCAGATTGATGAAATCTCTATATGGGCTTAAACAAGCTCCTAAACAATGGCATAAAAAATTTAACAAAATCATTACAGAATATAATTTTTCTATCAATGAGTTTGATAAATGTGTTTACTCAAAAGTTATTCACAATGAGTGTGTCATCTTGTGTTTGTATGTAGATAATATTCTTATCTTTGGGATTTCAATCGAAGTCGTTCTCGAAGCTAAAAATTATTTGTCAAAGAATTTTGACATGAAAGATCTTGGAGAAGCTGATTTGATTCTTGGAAGAATTTTGACATGAAAGATCTTGGAGAAGCTGATTTGATTCTTGGAATGAAAATCTCCAAAACTTCTAAAGGCATTTCTTTGTCTTGGAATGAAAATCTCCAAAACTTCTAAAGGCATTTCTTTGAGTCTATCCTATAGCATAGAGAAAATATTAGAGAAATTTGATTTTCATAAATGTTAACCTGTGAGTACACCTTATGATTCCTTAATCACCTTAAACAAACATGATGGTGAACCTATATCCCAACATAGATATTCACAATTGATAGATTCTCTTCTTTATGTGACAAACCGAACCAGACCTGACATTGCTTATGCAGTAGGTAGACTAAGTAGATACACTAGTAACCCAAGTCAGGAACATTGGAATGCATTAGAAAGAGTCTTTAGATATTTGAGAGGTACAACAGACTATTGTTTAACTTTTTCTGGATACCCTGATGTGATTGAAGGGTATAGTGAAGCTAACTGGGTCACTGATTCTGACAATGTGAAGTCTACTTCTAGATTTATTTTTATGCTTGGCGGTGCTGCTATATCTTAGAAATCTTGTAAACAAACAGTGATTGCCAGAAGCACCATGGAGTCTGAACTTATAGCTTTAGATTCTTGCTGCTCAGAAGCTGAATGGTTGAAAAACCTTATATCTAAACTCCCTTTTGTGTCTGGACTTATTCCTCCTATATCTATTCATACAGACTCCAGATCCACTATAGAACTTTTAAAACAAAATACCATCAATAAAAAGTTAAACAGACATCTCCAGATAAGATTTAAATCTGTGCAGAACCTTATGGGAAAATATGTTGCCTTGGATTTTGTAAAGTGAGAGGAAAATTTGGCAGACCACTTGACAAAAGGTCTATCTAAGAGTGCAATCCTAGAATCATCGAGGGGAATGAGGTTAAGCCCATAGTAGAGTTCACTGACAGCGGGAACCCAACATTTGATTGATGAGTTATTCTCATGGAAAAGGTTCAATGTGGTAGAAACAAGATGGATTGGTGATCTTATGTGGAGCACTGACCTTCGGAGTTATACTCCTTTTGTAGTGTTGGATGCATTTATGACTTGCACCATATTAGCTACTCCCTCATTCCTATGGTGACAGTGCTCTTATGTTGTGACTGGGCAGGATGAGTTTTACTCTTAATAAGTCCAACCTTTGTGGGGGTGAAATATCTAGTCACAGTACACTTGGAGGACTTACCTACGTGAGAGGAACCGTGATGGTCGCGGTTAGGGACATGGGGCTGAGTCCTAGTAACTCTCATGAGACGGTTATTGTGAGCATGACCATTATCGCTCCGACCCGCTCGCTCAACAAATGGATGCATATTATGTGTGCTTTTGTTAATTTCTTATCAAGAGGCCTAATTCAAGGTCTAATCCATTATGCCTCTCAGATTGCGACAAATGTTACTAAGATTCAAAGCCGAAAGCTATCTTTGCTGAATTCATAATATGAGGTTGCCCGACCTATATTTTGTTACCATTATCATTGTTGTTGTTATTAATTATTCTTTTATTCCCCAGAACTCAATCTTTTGGGGGGATTGTTGGAATAAATTAAAAGTTTGAGTTCTTATGAAAATATGATTTGTTGAGGGGTACATTTGCATAATGTTTATTCCTTATCCTCATATGAAACGCTTCCTCTTCTGTAATACTTTCTCCTTCTCCGCTCTTTCCTTCTCTGCTCTTTCCTCTTTTCTTCCGAGCGAAAATCTCTCCCTGCAATAACATCGGCGTCTTCTCCGCGACAGTGGAAATCTCTCCCGTGGTAACGTTGGCGTCTTCTACGGCCTTATCAACGACAACGGAAAATTCTCAAGGGCTATTAAAAGGGGATCTCAGGCAACTATGAAGAACAAGAAAGAAAAGAAAAACAGTGAGCAATTCTCAATCTCTCTCTCACAATTCTCTATAATATTTTGATTTCTGATTTTAATTTTGGGCAAACATCCATTGAGCAAGAGATCAAAGTTTCGTAGTAAACTTTGGTGCCGGCTTTCTCGGGGGGTTCTTACCGCTAGGCGTGGTCGCATCAAATCGTCTCTGCGAAGGCGGCGACTATTGTTCTAGGGCAGTGATCACACGATTACCCCTTCTCAGGCCTGCGTTTTAATTTCTTATCAAGAGGCCTAATTCAAGGTCTAATCCATTATGCCTCTCAGATTGCGACAAATGTTACTAAGATTCAAAGCCGAAAGCTATCTTTGCTGAATTCATAATATGAGGTTGCCCGACCTATATTTTGTTACCATTATCATTGTTGTTGTTATTAATTATTCTTTTATTCCCCAGAACTCAATCTTTTGGGGGGATTGTTGGAATAAATTAAAAGTTTGAGTTCTTATGAAAATATGATTTGTTGAGGGGTACATTTGCATAATGTTTATTCCTTATCCTCATATGAAACGCTTCCTCTTCTGTAATACTTTCTCCTTCTCCGCTCTTTCCTTCTCTGCTCTTTCCTCTTTTCTTCCGAGCGAAAATCTCTCCCTGCAATAACATCGGCGTCTTCTCCGCGACAGTGGAAATCTCTCCCGTGGTAACGTTGGCGTCTTCTACGGCCTTATCAACGACAACGGAAAATTCTCAAGGGCTATTAAAAGGGGATCTCAGGCAACTATGAAGAACAAGAAAGAAAAGAAAAACAGTGAGCAATTCTCAATCTCTCTCTCACAATTCTCTATAATATTTTGATTTCTGATTTTAATTTTGGGCAAACATCCATTGAGCAAGAGATCAAAGTTTCGTAGTAAACTTTGGTGCCGGCTTTCTCGGGGGGTTCTCACCGCTAGGCGTAGTTGCATCAAATCGTCTTTGCGAAGGCGGCGACTATTGTTCTAGGGAAGTGATCACACAATTACCCCTTCTCAGGCCTGCATTTTCTAACCCTCTTTCGAAATTTTTTGATTATTTGCAGTGTGTTTTCTAACATGTAGATGCGTGGATGTGTATTTTTCCTTCGATTCATCCTTGTCTAGCTTTTTCTTATAGCCTTCCTCTCTTTTTTAAGAAGTAATGAATATTTCTTTAACTATGTAACTTATCATCTGTAGAAGATTCCAAAGTGTCGTAAACTGCTGGCTGTTGGTGTAGTGAGCGAGCACATTTACTGTTAGTAGAAATTTCATGAATAATTTTGCTAGCTGCTAATTTCTTTTTATTGCCTTAATTTGGTACCATCTTTCACTTTACGTACTATATGATCGTATATAGATTATTATGCTAACTATTGCTTTTTTATGCCTTCAAGAAGATTTCTTGCATTTTCCACTGATTTCAGGCTCCTGGTCGTTGCTAACTTGTTTACATCGTATGACTGAGAAGCTGTTTCCAACGCACATAATGAAATTAAACCGGAGGAAGCTTCTAACACTAACTTGCTGATTACTCAGTAGAGTGTTTCCACGTTACAGTCTTGGCGTATAGATATTAGTATTGCTGTTTTTTTCACCTGATTTTGATTAGACGAGCAGAAAGAGACAAACACCCGATTCTTCATGCTTCTACAAAAAAGTTGGATATCATTCGACAAGTACCATTGCTAACTTAAATTGTTAAAGATGTGAACCTGCGTTAATTTGTTTATAACAGAATATAATCTTCATACTTCCCAACTCAAGCTTTGTTACAAATAATGGATACATCTCTTGTTAAGATTGTTGGATGCTATTTGTTACATAATGTCAAATTTTCTTTCAAGATTACGATAACTGACATGAAAAATTCGCAGAAATTTGTTTTACCAGTAGAGTTTGCATTTTTTTTCCCCTCTTCCCCCGTGTCGTGCGGGGGTATTTGCCAGTCTATCATAATGTAAAGGATGCTTGTCGTCTAAGCAAGATACTAATGCAATATTCCCTCTGATCTCTTCTAATCTCGATCCTCTCTAACCATTGATCTTCATTCTAATCCTTCTATTCTTCACTAACCTCATCCTATACCAGTTCAATCTATTTCCCTCTTTAATTTCATGGCAGAACGCGGGCATGTTTGGGGTCATACTTTCGGTTTAAAGTTCAAAAGGATTATGTGAGACAACAAAGTTTAGATGTGCAACACCCCATAGTTCTGGGGTTTAGGTCAAATTAACCGGAAAAAAAAAACCATGGTTCAATAAGCACACTGCGAAACAAAACCGGCGGCGTACAAAACTTCTTTCCTTCTGCGTGTAATAAATTCTATTCTTTTTCTAATAGCTTCCTTTTGCTGATTATTTCTTATTGATGAATCTTCTACTGTAAAGTATCCACTCATTTCTTGTATCACATAGTTTTGTCGATGTAAACTATCCTCAACCCTGTTATAGCAATTATTACTGCAGGATAAACTGTGACTAGCAAAGTGTGATTGGTAGAGAATCACCCTGTTATCTTCCATATATGCTAATTCAAGCAAGATAGACAAGATAGAACATCATAAATTAGTCTCAATTAAAATGTTTTATCAAGTGTATTCACAACATACATGGCCTTTTCTGGTAAGTCAAAAGCAGAATTCATGATTGCCAGGTAATCGATACAGATACAGTGAATACACCGAGTTTTGTAGGATATGTCTGTATGAATACACAAGAGCTTGATTGCCTCGTCAAAAGCTGTCGTCAACATCTTTCTCTTCACCATTCCGATCATCCTGCCCGTGCGTATATTGTTCCCTGCCAAAGATGAACACCAAGTAGTTAGGGCACGTCCTTATAGATGAGATGAGAACAGGAATTTCTAATTAAGAAAACAAGAATTCTAGATAAGTAACTCAAATACCAAGATCAATTCTAAATTTATGTGTCAACTTTAGTAATGACTATGGAAACTGTAAACTACAATGAGCTTCTGTGTTCAAGGTGAAATGGTTGGCATGGCCTATGCAATCATGAATCTCATAATAAGAATAAAAACAATCTAACATACGCAGTTTATGGAGTATCTTGACTAAAATTTACCATACTAGAATATAGGTTTAATGAGTTTCCATTTCAGCAAAAACATAGCTTACTGGTTATAAACTAACTTGATACATATTAAAAATTTAAAAGTACTAAGTTGCAAGATACCTCAATCTTTCACAAAGGCGTGCCAAAGCATCTGAACCAGCTCGAGATGCCACATCCTCAATCAAAAGTGAGTTAGACAGATTAACATTTTCTGCAAGCATGAACTCACATAACTCTTTCAGGGAGCAGGCATCAGTTAACACAGCTGAATGACCACCCCCAGCCGCAAGTCTCCTTACCTCTCCTATACACCTAGCAAAGTTTGAAAAACTAATCTTACTAGATTTATAATTCAAACATAAACCAAAGTATTATTGTTTCCTTCACAGTTTACCAACCAGTCAACAGGTGAAGGGTACCATGCATATGTACATTTATCATTTGCTGCTTGACCATAGCTATTATATCCCCAACCATAGATTCGTCCATCTTTCATAGATATTAGAGTGTGAGAGTGACCACATGTAACAAGCTCAACACCAGACGGTATGACCAGAGCGGGAATATTCCGAAGTAACGCATCAGAAGCGTTAGAAACACAAGAAAAGAAACCTTGCTGAGGGCCTAAACCTAACTGCCCAGCTTGTCCACCACCCCATGCATAAAGGGCACCTTTGGTAGTTAAAGCGCAAGAGTGAACACCACCACATGCAACATCCTTAACAACTATGCCCTCCAAGGAGACAACTCTCCTTGGAATTAATTCTTTATCGCAAGACTGAAGAGAGCAATGTCCAAGTTGCCCCATACTTCCCAGTCCCCAAGTATATCTGAAAATTGCAAGAGGTAACAGTTTATGCGACCTTGACTTGGTCATTCTTAATAAGGTTTAAATTTTGGAAGAGTAGATGTATGTGTTAACTGAAGTAAATTGTAGCTAGTGACATGAGTCACGACAAAACGCAAAATATATTCATGAAAAGGTACAAATGAAATGATTTCTAAACCATTAAATAATCATAAATAACAGAAAGGATAAATGATGTGCGTATATGCCACGGTTGTCCACAAAGTATATCTGGAATGTCAAATGACCCTGTCACTATACAAACCCCTGAAATTGTGGTGAGGATTGGAGGTTATAATTATATACTCTAGCATGGACATTTGCAAGGGGCAACAGTTTATCAAACCTTGATTGTTCAGAAGGTTTTTTTTTTTTTGCGTAAACTGCAAATAACCCACATTATTTATAAATTTAGTAGCACTTACCACCCCTCAGTTATTTTAGTAGCACTTCTCATCCCGAGATTCACATTTTGCGAAGGATAAAATTGCAAATAATCCCTGTTTGTATGAATCAAGGGTTGGTAAGTGATACTAAAACAGTTGAGGGATAATAAGTGCTATTGAAGTTACATACGAGGGAGGCTACCTGCAACCAACCCTTTTTTAAATAGTGGCTAAATGTACTAACTGAAGTAAATTGTAATGTTGTAATGTGTTCATCGCAGAACGCAGAAGATGATCCTGTAATTTAAAAATGAAATGGTTTCTAAATTATTAAAATAATAATGAATAACAAAAGAGGATAAATAATGCAGGTTTCTGGTTTCAAGGTTGCATGTAAAATACATTCTCAAAGATAACATGAAGAACTAGAATACATACTAATTGGTTTTATGAATGTGCAACCACATGCAATAACACTATTCTATTTCAATATTGCAGAAGCTTGAAAGATAAACACTGTATTTCTCCTATTTTTGATCCAGTACACATGACCACCAACAATGGATATACAGTACCAACTTATACTAGCCATAAGACATCAGTATGACACTCAGAGATACTCAGGAAAAAATCTCTTTTAGTCCAAGAAGCCACGAAATGGGCAAAAGTAATAATAAATTGTTGCCCCAAATGGTTGATTAGATATAGTTTTAACAAAGCAAATGGTATCAGGTCAAAAAAGTGCATGAAGTACACAGGCCTTCACAACGGAATAAGGACTAGTGAACATAGGATACATGTCCATTCTCGAAAATGATCAACATTTCATCATAATAGGCCAATATGTCATTCAGGCATTTACTTTTGTCCATTGACCCTCAAATAACCGTGCATTATTTTCCTTAGCCTTTCACCATAAACATTTATATCATCAAATTAATATTCAATACATAAAAAATTCCGTAGTATGCATACCTTCCCTACTGCCTTGGATTATCATCCAACTACAAACATAAACAGTGCAAGTAACAAAAGGGCTTCAGACAACAAGATAAGCTTGCAAATGCAACAAGTTTGTACAAATTATTGCAAATCCTATCTAAAAGAGCTTATTATCGTTGTTTGTTCAGAACACTTCTTATTGTTCAGAAGACTTCTTTTTTTCTGTTTGTTTCAACTTCCAATCTGTTATCCACTTATGTTTCTTAGACATTAGGAGGTAGCCTCTCGAGTTTGAGCAATTAAACTCATTATAGAATTTGTCGGTTGTCCTAATCTCTTGAAGGTTTCCTGTGAATCACGAACTATTTCACATCCTTCCAGTTGTTTAGAAGATACAAAAAGAGATTATATCATCATTTGAAGGACTTTACACGCAAGCTATGCAGGTGCACCTTTCAGGTCCATTCAAGACCTTCGTTACATTGTTGCTGGAGTAATTTGAGCTCAGTGATTCAATCTTTGTCCTTTGCTAGCCTATTTATTTAAGGACTATTCTCTAAGCAACTCTGTATTAGTATTCCACATATTACCATTCCAGTGCATATGTTTCTGAGCCTTTCCATTTTCAAAAAACTGTAAGTATATAGATCAACTTTCAATGAAAGAATTTTCAAACGTTTAATGGGACAAAAGGTAATTCTGTGGAAAACTAGTGATCCTACTAACGAACATGATACATTCTGGCAAACTAATCCTTCACCGATCTAGGATTATGCAAGTAGCAAACTAAGGAATTGATAAGATTTTATAGTAGTTAGTATAATTCTTTCCGAATAAATTGACACTGTTAGGCAGCAAGAAATTTCTATTGAACCGCTGGACAATGAATTAGCTGAACAACGCTTTCCCCCTGCAGTTCATCTCCCAAAACACTGAAACGCACTAGATGGGCATCCATAGCCCAATGAAAGCTGCATGTGCCATGTGAGAGAACCACATAATCTATATCTGAAAGTGGAGGGTGACTCCATAAAGCACTATGCTATCAGATGACTTACACCTCCCCATTTTCTGATAGAGCTGCTGTGTGATACTCCCCACATGACACTTGTGTAATCTTCACAAGCTCAGGGGCTTCATCTAGGAATTTTGCAAAAGAATTCAATATGCGAGCTCCCTGTAGTCCTTCACAAGTAATACCTCTTCCAAGCTGACCATACTCGTTGTAGCCTGGTTTAATCAGAACAGTAACACAAATATAGTTAATTGGTAATAACATTGAAAGCTCTTAGTATCTTCTCCTTATTGTGTTATTATATTAAATAAATATGTGTCGCATACAAGCAGCAGCAAGATGGTGAAGAATCACTGGGGTAAGATGCAAAAATTTGGATGTCACAATGTTGTAGCTAGTAAGAATAGTGCAGAAAAAGGAAAGTTTAAACAATAAAGCACGGATATAACCAATTCTGAATGCCTAGATAAACTGCACTTAGAAACATATGGAAACTGTTCAATATTTACCCCATGCTTGCAGTAGACCGTCCTCAGATAGAGCCACCACATGAACTGCTCCACAAGAAACTTGACGTATAATCTGCTTGGGAAACAGCAACAAAACCAACAACAATGGCAAATTATTACATTTGCCAAGTCTGTGCAAGGGTAGCAAATAAACAACTACAGGCAATAACTAACTAACATGGCCATAAAAGATCAAACATAGCCACGCTTCTAAACAAGTGAGCAGTCTTCAAGGGTATATGGAGATGCTCATTATTTTTTAATCTGATATATCAAATAATTGAAGTGTCTAACCATATAAATGTCAAATAACAGCCTTAAGGATATCACTTACTGTGTTTGTGGAAAAGGCTCCCCAAAATAGGCGAGGATAATTTGAACCCTGAAACCAGAAAAACGTAGGTGAAGACTAAAATGCATGCCCAGGAAAAAGCTAGAGAGCTAACAAAGAGAAAGAGAAACTAACAACAAGAGACAAAACCTGATTCTGCCCCCAGACCCAGAGCCTGCTTGAAGATGTAGAGTCATCTTTTTGCTGAGGTTCGGCAATAGCAGCTGTACAATGTGCTCCACAAGACACAGATTTCACAAACTCAGACTGCAACAATTTGACCTTTTTTGGGTGCTTTGTACTCTCTTCAGTTCCATCTCCTAGTTGACCAAAGTCATTTGCACCTAATTTGATAGTGAACATGATTAAATAGTCACCTTCAGAGGAAGAGGATTCTTTGCATAGTTCAACTAAGAGAAAAACGAAAGAATGACTGAGAATAATTTGGACTGGTTAAAATTTGCTAAAAGAAATATCTTATAAGATATTGACTGAAAACTGTTAGATAACTACTGTAATCCAGGGGTTGGTTGATGTACTCTAGGCCAAGATGAACATTGGTACGGTTTCAAAGGGAAGAATAAATGAATCGACTGCTTACGTTGTACGCATTAAAGACCTTGAAAGTCTAAATAGTTGGATGTGCATCAGGCAGTGAGAGGCAGCACAAATGTAGAGGGGAAATCATTTATTTTTGTCATAAGTTCCTGCCACTACACCAAACTATAAAGTTGTGGTTACTGTTGAGGGTTATAATTCTATATTCTAACAATTTTTAACATACGCTTGTGGGTGCACATAAGCAGCCTAATCACTCATACTTAGGCTTAAGTGTTTTAAAGGTGAAAGGCAAGGTCAAGGCCACAAGGTCCTATGTTGCCTGAAGCAAGGGGCACTAGAAAAGAGATTGCCCAAGCAAAGCAAGGCAACAAATATTCAAAAATTTCATAAATTTATGCATAATGCATAATTATATGTCGCACCCTAGGCCCGTGGGCCCGTTGGCGCATGCAAGCCGTGAGACCCACCGACAGCAACTCGATGTTGGCTAAAGACTACTGTCAAAATGCTAGCATTAGTAGTTCTTGAGCCTTGGGCTTTTCTCTATTTAAATCACTAATATTTCTTTATATTAGTCCATGTGGGACTAAAGTATGGGTGTCACAATCACCCTACCTTACAAAGACGACGTCCTCGTCGTCATGACACCTTACAAAGACAACGCTCTTGTCGTCATGACACCTTACAAAGACGACATCATCGTCATCATGACATGACAACTAGCACATCCTAGTGTTATTGTCAGACAATGTGGACTCTAGAGGTGGCTCCTACGGGCTCTAAAGGTGACTCTCACCTCATCCACGCAGTGTAGCACTTAGCCCTATATAACACTTAGCTTCACACTTCCGACTGGCATCTGCTCTGATACCATTTGTCACACTCTAGACCCGTGAGCTCGTTGACGCATGCAAGCCGTGAAACCCACCGAGAGCAACTCGATGTTGGCTAAAATTCACTATCAAAATGCTAGAACTAGTTGTTCTTGAACCTTGGAATTTTTTCTATATAAACCACTAACATTTCTTCACATTAGTCCATATGAGACTAAAGTGGGGGTGTCACATTATACACCATTGATAAATTTAGAAGACAAATTCAAAAAATTCATAAAAATAACAAACAATGCACACTTTAATCCATCTCAAGCCAGATGTCTGCTCACATTCGACATCTTTATCATTTTGTTAAAAATCCAGTAATCAACCAAAAAGTAAACAAAGAAAATAAATTTTACCTTGGTGGCTGTAGGTGCAAGAGGGGTCTAAGGTTGTCCAAGGTAGCCATCAAAGGCCAAAGGAAGGAAAAGGAAAAGAACTGATATGGTATAATCCTTGAATACATTCACCCTCATAATATAATTTTTACAATATAGTGTACCAAATGGAGTTCGTTCAACGTAATTTAACATATAAAAGGGTGCCGAATAGCTCTGTCACAATTCAAAATAAAAGTGAGCATCTTCCGCACCTCGCCACATCTCATGTGCCTTAGGTGAGCACCTGGCCCTTAGGCATCTTATGTGCTCGTATTTGTGACCCTTACCGGGTGCTAAGGTATAGAATTGCCTTGCCTGAGCATCTGAATTCAGAATCAGGCATGGCATATTAAACCATTGTATGGATTGTCAACCAACAACATAAACAGAGATATGTTAATTTTTCACGAACATACATCTTAGATTTTTAAGGAAGAGGGAAAAGATAGATTTTATTGAGGCATGATTCAAAACTAACACTGAAGCCCTATATTTGAACATACTAGGCACCAAAGTCTATACATATTCCAAAGTCCACCTCAACTCAATGAACACAACTTGATCTCTAAGACGGGTGGATCTGTTATGGGGCAGTGGAGTCAAGTGCCCACACTGACCCCATAAGAAATATAATTATTATTAAACCCTTATATCAATTTGCCCTTATACTATATGCCCCATAGGCTCCCTAGCTGATGAAGAATGACGAAGATGCTAAACAATTCTCTCTATTCATTTTTTTATTGAAAAAAAATTTGCTGACTCATTGGATTTTCATGATAAGGAAGGGAGCAAAGAGAAAGATGAATATCGACCTCTTTACTTTTGGCTGCTTGGTGTTTAGCTAAAGGCCTCTGTTGCACTAGTACAAGTCACTATAGGTACAGGCACAGGACAAGGAAAATTTGTAAAAGGTAGGGTACAGGAACACGGCAATATAAAAATTTATACACATATTTATGTTTTGAATTTAATAATTTATATGAGAACAAGGATGAGAATTAGAGTCCTATAACCGTTTTAAGTTTCTTTTGTTATGTGGATTATAAATTGAAAAATCACTAGTTTTTAAGCTAGACATCCAAATGGCCCTTCGAAATCATAATTCGGAATCTAACATTTTTCCAACAAGTTGTCAAGAAGTGGGTGTGAAGTGTAGGATATATATCCAAAAAAATGTATGACAAGTATTTTAAATTAAAACATGTATTGTATAACTGAGTACACACCCAAATAAATGTAAGCATTTATGCAAGGAGTGTCCAAAGAGTTTGTGTGGGGGTAAGGGTAGGTGTTGAGTATAAGTACGGCTTCAAATTAGAAATACCTAGATAACATCAGTAGGCTTTGGACATGAAAATTTATTTAATTCCATCACTTTCTCATTTGCAAGTGTTTTGTGCCTTATGGACTTTTCCTATTGGTGTGATGCATGCCACTTTGGTGCTTATGAAGCACCTAAATTTTTTTCTTTTGTCCAAAGCTCCTTTGTTTTTTGTGGTTATTAAGGGTAGAAGTAGTCTAATGGTTTGAGTATTCAGGTAGGTGGTAGCTTTGGCTTTTTATGTTTTGCAGATGGAAGACAACAAGGCCTTATGAAAGATCAAAGTTTATGGATCCACCCCTGTCTAAAATGATTGGATATTAAGGACCTTAGGCTTATAATCCTCCTTCAAATCTGCAGTTCACCTAAGCAGACCATAAACCCAAAACAATTTGAGCAGAACTGCGACCTATGCAAACAAGCAACAAGGACCACATTTTATGGGCAAGAAAACACCATTTATCGCTTCCATTCACAACCACCAAATTGGTTTACATGAGCTTGGGATGTTAGTGAGTTTACACATTGACATGGAGTTTCCAAACAAAGCTACGACTTCGATGTAATGCCAAAATTCTTTATAGTAGAAGTGTCTGCTATAAAGGATTACGGTAGATCTTCAATATGCCAAAACAAAACACCAAGAATAAAGCCTTGATGGATGGATGATGCGCAACAATAGAGGTATTTCATATGAGGTAAAACTACATCCTTTACTCTTTAATTTCCTAGGGAAGAAACTGTTTAGTTACCACTAGTGGCAACCACAATCTATGAAGCACAGACACGGACACGACGACATGGACACAACACAGACACGGCAAAACCCAAAAAAATAGGACACGACTAGATTTTTTAATAGTATTATTATATATAGATCAATATTGAATTAAATTCCTATTACATTTTCATATTGTTTGTTATGTAAAGTGGAGATTATAAATAAGAAACTAAAGGAAAGTGTGTGTTGCAGGTGTGAATTAAAAACTACAATAGTAATAACAATAAATTAAAAATTAATAATAGTAAAATAGTAACTAAAATCATAATTAACAGTAAATTAAAAAATAAAACCCTAATTAATCAACAGTAAATTAATGGAACACGAACTCTAATTAATTAACTGTAAATTAATATAAAATAATAAATTAAAATGAAAAAAAGTAAAATCCTACTATTGTTACAAAAAATAAATCCCAGATCCCATTTATATGTTATTCTAGCATTTTTATGTCATTCTCACATTTTTATACAGTAAGGAGATAAAAACAGAGAATTAAAATAAAAAAACAGTAAAAAGAGAGAGAGAAAAAGAGCTATAAAAACGAAGAGGGAGAGATCGGAGAGAGGAATTAGGGATCGAAAAAGGGAAAGAATCAGATGAGAGAGAGAGAGAGAGAGAGCGCGACTGAGAGAGAGAGAGAGAGAGATCAGAGAGACTGAGAGAGAGAGGAAGTCACAGATCGGAGAAAGAGAGAGAGAGAGAATTAGAGAGAGAGAGAGAGGAAGTCAGAGATCGGGGAGAGAGATTCAGAGATCGGAGAAAGAGAGTCGAGATCGAAGAAAGAGAGAGAGAGAGAGAATCAGAGAGAGAGAGAGGAAGCAATCGGAGAGAGACAAACCGACGAGGACGACGAGGCCGATCGACGACGACGACGACGTCGGCAAGCACGATCGATGACGACAGCGAGTATCGAGAACGATGATGGGGGTGATTTTCTTTCCGTCGGGACCGAGAGAGAGAGAGAGATGACAAGCGATCGGGTGAGTGGAAAGTTAAAACTAGGGTTGGGGATCTGGGTTTGGGTTTCGGGTTTGCAGGTTTTCTTCCATTTCTTTTTCTCCCTCTCAGCCGTGTCGAGAAGGATTCGCCGTGTCGGGAGCGTGTCGAAGGCGAGTCGAGGTGTTGACCGCGTGTCCGACGAGTGTCGAACGTGTGTCCGCGTCCGACGCATGTCAAAGACGGACTCGCCGGCCATTTTGAAGAGTCGGTGTTTCATAGACCACAATTTTAGAATCTTAGAGTTCATGTGATTCCTTGAATTAACAATTAAATCTGAGAACTATTTCCAAAAAAATTCAATAAATATGACATATCATAGATGAACATCTATATTGTGTGTATCTATTATAAGCCATAAGGTGTTAGTGTGCATGGCACTTGTAACATAGCCTATTACATAAAGCAGTAATGAACAATT